GAGTGGGGGTGGGCCGGCCCATTCAGGCGACCGGGGTCCGTGTGGACGGCCAGCTGGGCCAAAAGGCCCAGCGAGGGGAGGGTTTTCTCCTTTTCTTATTTTTGTTTTGTTTTTTTACTTTTTACTTATTTTCTTTTCTGTTCTAATTTCTAGTTTCCTCTGATTTTAGTTCTATAAAACCACAAAAGTTGAACCTAATTTAGTATCACTAACTATACCTTAGCTATAAAAGGATCAAACCCTAAACAAAATAGTCTAACATTTTATAAATAATACAAGGCATTTATTAAATTGGTTATGTTGTTGTTTTATTCATCGTAGAGTATTTAAGCATTTTATAAAAGTATGGTTCCCCTACCATAATAATCTATGCAATATTTGGTTCACTCCGAACATTTTAGTTTTAATATTTGAAAACCTTTATTGTTAGATGGATTTTGAACTTCAATTTGAATCGGTTTTGAACTATCGCGAGACTAGCAACATTAATTGAAGTGACGTGGCATCATTAGCAGAGGGTTGCTGTAGCTTAATTATCCGGGCGTCACACCACGGGTCCATAGTTATTAGCTAGATGGCTTCTTCTCTCTCTTTGGATCTTAATACAAAGTTCTCCTCGATTCTTTTGGAGATCTATTCGATGTAACCTTCTTTTCGGTGTGTTTGTCGAGATTCGATGAATTGTGGGTTTATGTTCCAAATTATTTATGAACAATATTTGATTTTACTCTGAATTCTTTTATGTATGATTGGTTTTATCTTTGCAAGTCTCTTCGAATTATCAGTTTGGTTTGGCTTACTAGATTGATCTTTCTTGCAATGGGAGAAGTGCTTAGCTTTGGGTTCAATTTTGCGGTGCTCGATCCCAGTGACATAAAGGGAACCGACACGTATTGTATTGTTGCCATCGAGGATTAAAAAGATGGGGTTTATATCATATTGCATGAGTTTATCCCTATACATCATGTCATCTTCCTTAAAGCATTACTCTGTTTTTATGAATTTAATACTCTAGATGCATGCTGGATAGCGGTCGATGTGTGGAGTAATAGTACTAGATGCAGAATCGTTTCGGTCTACTTGTCTCAGACGTGATGCCTATATACATGATCATACCTAGCTATTCTCATAACTATGATCAATTCTATCAATTGCTCGACAGTAATTCGTTTACCCACCGTGAATACTTATGCTTTTGAGAGAAGCCACCAGTGAAACCTATGCCCGTGTCTATCTTTCATCATATTAATCTTCTAATACTTAGTTATTTCATTTGCCATTTATTTTACTTTGCATCTTTATCATAAAAATACAAAAAATATTATCTTATCATATCTATCAGATCTCACTCTCGTAAGTGACCGCGAAGGGCTTGACAATCCTTTTATCGCGTTGGTTGCGAGGTTCTTATTTGTTTGTGTAGGTGCATGGGACTTGAGCGTGATCTCCTACTGGATTGATACCTTGGTTCTTAAAAACTGAGAAAAATACTTACGCTACTTTGCTGCATCACCATTTCCTCTTCAAGGGAAAACCAACACAGTGCTCAAGAGGTAGCAGGCCACGATGTTGAAGTTGCAGCGCATCTCTTTGGGGACCCCATGTCTAGCTTTGAGCCACCATTGTTCCGTAGTACTGAAATTGTCATTGGGCAAGATTATGCCCTCTTTCTTGACTATTGCTTGTTCTTGTTGACCCCGGCAACTTGTAATCAGCTCTTTCTTTCCTGCCATCTCCTCGGAGCGGCGAGATTAGAGTTTCTCGTCGTGCGTACGCAATGGCGAGATTTCATGTCAGGTTTTTCAGATCGATTCAAGGATTCGATGGCGACAACTGCGGCTTCCGGACGCTGGTCCTTAGGGGCACGTGCACAAAGACTTGCTGGATGTCATCGACAAGGTCAGGCCGGCTTAGATATGGGAGCGGCGACAGCGGCAGCTCATTCTGGCGGCGACAATGGTCGTTCAGTTGTGTGTGGACCTACATGTAATTTTTATTATGTTTGGGGTGCTTTGTATTTCCGGTGAATCTTTATAATAGATATGATATTTTTCATAAAAAAACTCTCTCTTCTGCTTAATGAAAATGGAACATGCTTTTGCTTGTTCTTTCTTAAACAAAAAGGAAAAAAAATCACCCGCAAAAAAATAGGGAAAAAGAATCGATGACTGGGCGCGGCCCGCACGCCAGTAGGAAGCACCGGAGGAGGAAGGTGTCCATGCGGTGCGGGCTGCGTGCGACTGGGCGCGGTGTAAAGGCCACGTGAGAATGGGCCTCGCGCCCTTCTATATAGCCCGCCATCGGGCCGCCCGGTCTGCACATCACCGCACTGCACGACAGCCATCCTCCGTGCGGTTCCAAGCTCCTACTCCCACGCCCGTCTCCCCCGAGATCAGGAGGAGCACGCCCGCTGCACCGGAGCGCCGAGACCTCGAGGCCTTCGTCTCCACCCCGGTGAGCGCCGCTGCCTTCCCCCTAATTCCGCCTCGTACCCCCCTGATCTGGCCGGTCCTGCCGATTCCGTCGATGCGCGCCGCGTTTTGTTCGGTGGATCACGCGAATCCGCTCGTCGACTCCACGGGGTCCGGGCTGGGCTGTTTCCCCTCCCGCGGGGCTTCCACGTTAGTATTGGCGAATCTGTTCGTTTCCTTTGGCTTTCCCCGTCTCACGAATCCGATCCGATTCCGCCAGATCGGCGAGGCGAGCGGTTGAGAATTTTGCGGATCTCTTGGCTGGGAGGGACTGCACTCATTCCTGCTGAATTCTGTGGGCTGTGCTCCATTTGCTTGGGCGTAGGGGTGTGTGTGTGTGGAGATGCGGGTGGATCGGAGTGGATCTGTGTAGATCTCTGGGTCTCGTCTAATAAAACTGTTCTCTTTGTTGTGGTGCAGGAGGAGAGATGGGGCTCACGTTCACCAAGCTGTTCAGCCGCCTCTTCGCCAAGAAGGAGATGAGGATTCTCATGGTTGGTCTCGATGCCGCTGGTAAGACCACCATCCTCTACAAGCTCAAGCTCGGCGAGATCGTCACCACCATCCCAACCATCGGTAAGCTGCTTTCTGCATTCTCTGCTTCCACGTCTGGTCATGTCTCAAATGTAGGAGCATAGCACAGTATTTACAAAAAAGAAACTTAAATCATATCGAGAGCACTGCTACTGTAAATCTGCAATGTAGATATATACTGCTAGGAAGGTGAATTTAAAAGGCACCGTAGCAAAATCAGGTGTTATCATTCGATCTCACGGTGACCGGAACTTAATAGTAAATAAAATAGGGATAGCCAGTTACTCTTAGCTGGGTCTCACTTTCATTAATAAAATCTGGCTAATTTGGAAATTTGCAGGATTTAACGTCGAAACTGTTGAGTACAAGAACATCAGCTTCACTGTTTGGGATGTGGGGGGCCAAGACAAGGTAAGGAAGTCTAGTCATGATTTGCTAATTGTGTCAGATTAAGAAATCATGTCACCCCTTTGTGAATCTGTTCCTCTCCCTTGGGCGGAAGATCAGATCTGTTTTTACACCGATGTTGTTAGGCTTATGTTGTCACAAACTTCAGCCTGGTGCCTTAGACTTACTATTTTATTGTTTTCTGATTGAAACAGATCAGGCCCCTGTGGAGGCACTACTTCCAGAACACGCAAGGGCTCATTTTTGTTGTTGACAGCAATGATAGGGAGCGTGTTGTTGAGGCTAGAGACGAGCTCCACAGGATGCTGAATGAGGTACTGCACTAGTGACTAGTGTTGTTGTAGTTGTTCTGAAGTTTCCCCAATTTGCAAATATCCTGTCTGAGTTTCCATCTATGGTAATGTGAATTTTTGTTCAGTAATCAATAAATATGTGAAGATAGCTGAACTGTCAAGTCAATATTCGTTTTCTTATATGCTTAGTCTGTGCTTTATTGAGAATTCACTAATTGAAATTTTAGCTTCTCTTTCCGTTCTATATTGAAATTCATAATTAATGTAAGATCTTTCTGTGATATAGGATGAGCTGCGTGATGCTGTGTTGCTTGTATTTGCAAACAAACAAGATCTTCCTAATGCCATGAATGCTGCTGAAATCACCGACAAGCTTGGTCTGCACTCCCTGCGCCAGCGGCACTGGTAAGGAACTCCACACACATAATCCCTCCGTAAAGAAATATAAGAGCGTTTAGAACACTAAAGTAGTGATCTAAATGCTCTTATATTTCTTTACAGAGGGAGTAGTTCAGAAGCTATTTACGTTCTAATATCTTGGTCAAAATTTCCCTGGTGTTCTGCTGTTTCTCAGATTCTATATGCTGCAGATATTTGTAATTGCGAACTTCAATTTGTAATAAGAGTTATTTGAAAGTACATGTAGTGTATCCCCAAAATAAATCTAGTATAAACGTACTTATTTCTGTTAAATCACATAGGGTGTAACACTGAAAATAGACCATCGCCCTGTTTTATAGATAAAGCCACATGGTCGAATGATATAGTAGTTCATAGGGTGTACCTGGGGATCATGAATGTGTCTTGATCTTAATTTAATTCCATGTTGTTGCTACACTACTTATCCTGTCTAAAATAATTATTGGTGCTGGTGCTAAAATAAATTATTTCCTCTGGTGCAGGTACATTCAGAGCACTTGTGCGACGTCTGGCGAAGGGTTGTACGAGGGACTTGACTGGCTCTCCAACAACATTGCCAACAAGGTATATTAGGCTCAACTGATCGTTATTCATTGAATATCTTCTCTGTGCTCTGCTGAATGCTTCTAAAGACTGCTGCACTTGCTTAAATGATATGGCCCTTAGCAGCTGTGACTGAGATAAACAAACAGACTAGCCCACGACACACTTCTGCTGCTATTTTATTATAACTACTAAATGCTGTTTGGTACGTCTGTGCTTAGATTAGGCACACAATGACACAATGAAGTTGAACAGTCTCACACAAGCACTCCTCTCTGTTCTATGCTATACCGTACTTAACAAGCAGCATAGCATCGCACACCAGAACTTGTGCCTTGTGCTCTGATCCCCTGTGACTAACAGCACATCCTCTTCATTTGTTTGCACAGGCTTGAAGCGCCTCGACAAGTGCTTCATCAAGAAACAAACGTGCTGGATGTCTCAACAACTCACTGCTACCATTTTACATATTGTGATATATATACACTGTACAAGAGATAGTATGTGTGCGTATGTGACAGGCAGAAGCTCCCTTCTTTAAGTGAGCTAGTATCAGGTCAGGTTGTCTTTTTTTGTATGGATATTATCAGTTGCTGTTCGGTGGTTTTACAAGGTTTAATGTGTCGACGATGTGTGTCTGAACCCCTATCTTTTCGAGTTTTGTTAAGATTGACTTGTGGTTGCCAATGTTGGTTGGTTCAGTTGAGTGATGTGGATGGTACCTGTTGCTAACATACTTCTGTGAGCGATGTTTTCACTAGTTGTGCTAGTTCGGATCTGGTTCTGCGCTTTCGGTCTGGCTGTCGGCATCGTCGCACGCCACCAACATCTTTGGAGATCCACTCACGCACTCGGTGATGGGTGCACCACCATGCACATGCCATTATGGGTTGATCATTGCCGCATACGACGTAGGTGGGCATGGAGTTGTATACTTAAATTTATTTTTGCAGGAAGTACACTTTGTACCACCTCCGCGTTTAGATCACTACTTAGTTCACTTCCACCACATGGGCACACAACGCTTACTTGAGACCGGGTTGAAGCTGGGGAGCTTTGTGAATGACGAATTGTCACTACCGCCAAACTGTTATGGAAATGTCACCTTTCTTTGAAAGAATAATTTACATTAATGAGACATCGAAATGTCAAACCTAATTTGAACTGCCCTCTAACCATCTAACACCGGTTGATTCTGTACATGTTATTTTGTTAATAATGTGATTGTGTAGAAAAGATATTATTTAGTGAGTATAAGAGCAACTCATAAATATTTTGTAGTTAGTCTGTGATTTACATGATATTTTGTTGATAATGTGATTGTGTAGAAAATGTTTTATTTGATAAGTATAAGAGCAACTCTAGCAGATATGTGTCGCCCCATCATACGAACTTAGTGGTCCAAAAATGGCTCTAACACAATCGCCATGTTGCCCTCTGCTACATAATTTTTAGAGCGTGCTTCAGTAGTGAGTCACAGCCTCCATCAGTGACGAATCTTGGAGGAAAATCAAGGGCAGGCTCAAAGTTAACGGCTGAAAAAAAGCTACTAACTCTCAATTATTTTGTTCAAAGAAGGTTAGAATTTGCCATAATACTAGTAGGAACATATACTATTAACTACTAATTATTTTTTTGCATTGCTGGAAGGTAGGCTCAAGCCTATTAAAGCCTGCCTAGTTGATTCACCATTGGCCTCCATATTTGGAGGCTGGGGGCGTTGATATGTAGCGCCCTGCATACCCATCTGTCTGTATGAGAGGAAAACTTCAATCGTTTATCGCCCCTCTCTTTCCCCCTCTCCTGCCTATGGCATAGTCGTCCGTCTGTATGACTCCTGCATGCACGGTTTTCATCGGGAAAGCTTCCTTAAATATCGTCGTTGTGTGTTTCACTTGTTTGCGCACATTTTCGCCTCTACGTGCCCTTTTCTGCCTTGTTTTTGTCAGAGCGCACCCTTTCTCAGGCCCTTTTCTTGTCAGACCATGGCTATATAAACCAACACTCTCCTCGCTGTCGCACAAGCACAATCGACCATCTTCCTCTTCCCCACCCACTATCTTCCTTCATGTTGAGCCATTTAAGTCATGTCAATGTTTTGACCCTTCTCGTGGACCCTTTTTGGGAGAGGGACTGGCATTACTTTGAGTGGGCCCAAGACGATGCGCTTCAAGACACCGAATCAACCGTGGGGGGTCGAGCGCCTCCCCGTCGCCACACGACGGAAGCTGCCATTGTAGTACCAAAAGTCGTGATCATGGAGGGTTACAAGGTTGGCCTTCGTATGCGTCCAAGAAGCCTACCGATACCTCAACCGTGATCAAAATGCAAGTGGAGGAAGCCAAATCCGCCCCCAGATGCGAGATCACTTTCAAACACAGGAAGCCGGTGAAATAAAATCATCGTGTTTTTAGTCGTTCTAGGTCAATTTTGATTTCAATGTGATGTTCAACCAATGTGCAATTGCTTTGTGTGAAGAATGAACATATACGTCAACATATGGATCCAAAAATAATATGAAGTTTGAATTATGATGACTCTGAGTAAATGCGCGTCACCTTGATAACTTCCAAAACATTGTGGAGCGTGCTCCAAAATGATTTTGGGTTGTGAATATGGCACATCCGCCAGAATTAATTTAAGCATTTATTCATTTATTTTACCAAAAAACATGATTTTACTTGGTAAGATAAAACATGATTTTACTTGGTAAGATAATATGAGGGCACAACCGAAGGGGAGGGGGTAGTTGAGGCGGTTTTGAGAAAAAAACCGGTTAGAAGAAAAAAAATCAAAAATGAAGGGGAAGAAGAATGTAGGTAAAGAAGGGTGGATGAAAAATGAGCCATACGAAATTCATTAGTAAGTACATACGGAGAACTCGAAAACTAAGGAAACTATGAACCAAGCATAGCTCAGATCGTTAGATTCTTTGTGATGAAACTAGATCAGGGTTCAAGTCCTAGACTTGACATATGTGCTTTCATTTTTCTGAATTTATTTTAGTGAGATAAGATGTTCCCGTCACTACAAACACAAATATGATGACTTTGTCAATCTTAACATGTTGTGTCAACTCAGTATCTTGGTTCATAGGGACGAGTGTATGTAGGCATCCTAAGAAAACTTAATAACATCGGAATACAATACAATCTATTAAACCCAAAATAGAAAATCCAGTGCCGCAATTAATTGATCTAATCTGTATATTGTACTTCATGCTAACATGCGTGCATGTGAGATCGATCGATCGATCGGTCGCCATTATAAGCCATGCCCATGCACGGGTACATACAGGAGTGCATGCATACTAATTAAGCTTAGCTTGCCGGCTCCTCATGCCAGTCCACCACCTAAACCGGTACTCCGACTCCTCCTCCACCCGCTCCGGCGACGGCTTGAGGTCCTCGTCGAGGCCGCGGTCCATGCGGGCGATGTACTGGTGCTCGAACCACCGGCGCTCGAACCACCGGCGGTTGCGGCCGAAGCACTTGCGCAGCGCCGCCGTGGCCACGACGCAGGCCTCGGCGTCGACGACGACGCCGCCGTCCCGCCGCTTGACCTCCCTCGGGTGGCACTCGCCCGTCGCCACCAGGAACTCCTGGAGGCAGCCGCCGTTGTGCACGTGATGCACGACGCTGCTCTGGTCGCTGTTGGAGATGAGAGGCTCCGCCACCCCTTTGATCACCCCCTCCGTCACCGACGCCCCTATTGATTTGGCCAGCCGGTTCCCCATGGTCGGCCGGCCGGCCGGCGGCGTGGGTGTGTGTTGGCCTTGGAAACCAAAGCCGGGCCGGCCAACTGAACACCCAACCAATGTCCACCGCCGCGGCGGCTTAAATAGCTACTACTACTACCAAATATTGGCCCGGATCTGCTAACTGAACAATTCCAAATGTATACCATGGTTTGGTGCAAATCAGCTTCCGATCAAACCAAGCCATTCAAAACGGGGTATGGTATGGTATGCATGTGTCTCTATGGAATATGCATGCATGATAGCCAAACATACGCCATTAATTGCTTCTTATTTTGCGTTGCCTATTTCCTTTTTTATGTATCGATCGATCGAATGCCGTATCATTCGCCTTTCCGGCTACAAATTAATATGCCTTTGTAGCGCGCACATACCTGTACAACACTTTGTATTTTCGTTTTGGAAAGTCTGCACTCCAAATTTGATTTGTTCCAACTGCCATTAAAGCAGTCACGCGTGTGGAATATATTAGCTGTCCTCGATATATAAACTTACACACGTACGCAGCCAAGGACTCCCGATACTAAGGAAGGATCGAGCGAGCACGATCGAGCCGGCGATGGCGGCGCTCCTGAGCACGGCAGCAAGGAGGCTCTCACCGGCCGGCCGCGGTGGTCCGGCTGCTCTTTCTTCTCGCCGGCTTGCCTCCTCCGGCGCTACAAACCCACAGTACGGCAATGGCTAGAGTGAATTGCAGAAAACCATCACATTTCAGCTTAGGTTTGCAGGAAACACTCTTCTACGTTTTTGCTGTAGAAAACACTGATTTTTTTTTTCTAATCTTTTGCAGAAAGCACCAAACCTCCTGTTCGGGCAGTTTAAGCACTATTATGACAGGTGGGACCCTGTCTTGTCAACGTGGCTCACGGCCGCGAGCTGACGCCGTCTAACGGCGCTACAGTGCCCGCCGGTGCGCCGATAGAAACTAGCTCAGCTCTCTCATCTGCCTCGCCCTCTCCTCTCATCACTCTGCTCTCCTCTCCTCACTCCGTTCTTCTCCCCCGACGCCGCCACAACGCCGGCCGCCGTTCTGCTGCTTCCCCTGGCCATGGTGTCGTGGAGCGTCGAGACCAGTGAGGATTCAGTCATGAACATCTCCTCCTCCCGCGATGGCATCACCAAGGTTAGTTTGCTACAGCTAGGGTTAGGGTTAGGGTTAGTGATTTGGGGATTTTGTGAATGAGCTCGAGCTGAACCTAGGTTTATCTTTGCTTGCTCCCGCAACTTCCAGCTACGATGCACGATCCGAATTTCAATGGCACTGACGCAGATGTGAATGTTTTGTGCGAACACGGCGAGCCGGCCGAGCGCTTTGTTGCATTTGAAGGGATGCACACCGGCAGGAGGTTTCTAGGATGTGCTAAGAAGGTATGATCCTTTATAAGTGAAGGTGTTCATTGCTGAATGTGCTAAGTTTGGTATTTCTTTACCTTTACCTGACATGCCTTGTCATCAGATGGTACACATTGTTTATTGTGGTTAGTGATTACTGCTTTGTTTATCAAGTTGTTAAGCTTGGTTAAGTGCTTAGTCTTTGTTTAACTTGTTTTATCCAGTGAGTGGATGGTTGTCATTGTTTATTATGGTCAGTGCTTAATTACTTGTTTAACAGTGGTCATTGTTTATTTGTTTGCTGTGTGATATGTTTGCTGCACATATTAGACCCCCTGAACATGTTAGCTTATGGAGTATGGCACTTAACAATGGTCTTCAGCCTACTCACTTAGATGATTCTTTATTGTTTTATTGGAGCGTTTTATTGTTTATTTTACAGGAAGGCATAAACTGTGGAGTAGTTCAATGGATTGATTTTGAATGGCCAGACTCAATGGAGAAGGCATTGGCCAAGTTATGGGATATGTATGAGGAGAGTAAGTCAGGTAGGACCAATGACAATCTGGAGAGTTCCTTTGTAATTCACAACCTGACAGAAGAGAAGAAGAAACTACAGGAGAATTATGACAGTCTGTATGCCGATGTCAATGCTCTCTTGGATGCCCAGCAACAGAGGGGTCTGGAGTTGAGCAATCAGAAGGAGCAGAAGCAATGTCTTGATGTGAAGATTGCAGAGCTAGAAACTGTAGTGGGCAACTTGAAGTCAGAGCTGGCAAAGAAAGAGGAGGAGAAGAAGAAAGTACAGGAGGACTATGACAGTTTGTATGCTGATGTCAATGCTCTCTTGGATGCCCATCAGCAGAAGGGTGTGGAGTTAAACAATCAGAAGGAGCAGAAGGAATATGTTGATTTGAAGATTGCTAAGCTAGAAACTGTAGTGGGAAACTTGAAGGCAGAGCTGTCAAAGAAAGAGGAGGAGAAGAATAAGCTTCTGCAAAAGTATGAGACTCTAGTGAACCTGAC